ACGTTGTATTCTGTACCTTTTGTAAGCACTAAAGCCTACATTTCAATTTAAAAGAAAACTGTTCGTGCGAACCAGCACCTGTTCTCCGTAATATCCTAACTTTAAGAATAATTCTAGGCACTTGGTCCGTCCAAATTACATCTTTATCCTATTTTTTTATTTACCCTTTGGATACACTTCACTCATACAGTCATTCTTGATTTCTTGCAGTGCTCAACAGCTTTATGTGTACCGAGTTTGATTTACCGGGGAAGGAAGCAGATACTTCACCCTTCGGAAAATGTGTTAGTTTCCTTCTGAATGACATGGCGCAGCCAAAATTCAGTGTGAATTTCCTAAGGTGTATAAGTGAAATCTGCTTGAATGAAGGTCATCACAACAGTCTCGGTGTCTAAGGGGTGTTACTCACTAAGGTACACATGAAGCAAATGATTCCCTATTGGATTTGTCAACCACCAAATCTTCGAGCTTGACGAACCTTCTCATATTCAATGAGAAAACATACTGGAATGCGACGTCTTACATCTATTCAAGAAAATAAATTATCTTATATGCATATTTTTCATTGAACTAGAGACCTTCTGAATAATAGTTCAAGATGCAACAACAACAAATTCATCTCGCTCGTAGTAGTTCTCTGTCTTAACTCACCTGACAAAGTTGTAATACACTGTCAAACAGGAAACCTTCATAGATAAACAACGAAAGGGATATGAAGAGCAATATGATGTCTCTAAGCAATTTCGGGCTCCGAAATCGGTACGTCATGGAAACTCCAGTGTCTAGTGTCAGTTGTCATTCGTGCAGTACGTATTTTATACGTTTTTTAAGTTTTATTCCAGCGTTTTTTATTACTTATAAAATCTCTCATACATATAATTTTCATTCACGGAAACAATTATCAATGTTTATTTCTAAGTGAGTATTTCAAGATGAAATTTATTTATGTTAACTTATATGTACATACTCACATTCCAATTAGTGGTTCTTCTCACTGTACTGATTTCCCTTGATTTTTACTTGATTTCATAAATCAGATTCAGCTCCTCCGCAAAATAGAATAACACAGTTGGACCCAGTACAGGTACGTTGGTTTGCTTCGTTATTTTCGGACTCAGCGATTGCCGTCAATACATTGGGGATACAGTTCAATTTCCTCAATCATGAGAGTATTCAATGAATGCATTGATTTAAGCTACTGTGATTGGAGTAAATAAGTTGTCCAGATCGAAACCTGACTAAGAGGAGCAGATTGAAAACGCAGCTTATCACAAACAATATTTATTGACAGTCATGTTTTGCCTAGCTGGCTGTGATTGGGTCTTTCCACTCACGTGTTTCGATGTCTGATGTGTGTGATATGTTTCAGTCTGCTTCAAACCATTCATTTCGTGAACTTTCAAAGTGATGCAACTTAGGAAGAGTCTACAAATATATTCATGAAAATAGCCAAGCAATTCTGGTTCGTTATAAACTGAAATATGACACGATACACATAACGATCTCCTTCACCTCCTTCATTCCACAATCGATTGTATTTATTTCTGCTGATTCTAGCTGATCGGTGCATGAAATATCAATGAAGTATCCAACGTATGCCCTAAGGGGGACACTTTCCATCGGTAAAATATATATCTATATATTTCACACACTTCTGAGTCCAGCCCATGTGCCAAACAAATCAAAGTAAAAAAAGAAAAAGTTCCATGCTTTGTTTGTGGCTGACATATCACCAGGTTTACTAGGTCAAAGCAGATGAATTTTCTTGGGGAGTTCACGACTGGAATCTTTGGATAGCCGAAGCTTAATCCACAAAACAACGTAGTTTTGTGTTATAACCGCAATCTATTTTTGTCCTGGGTTCCAGTTCATCATATCATACTTCCTTCGGACTGTGTCAAACATTCCACACACCTCCATGCTCAATCGAGCCGATGACCAATGTAAAAACAAAAATGTTTTTATGTAGCGGTTGGTACGCATCCTTTTGGTTAGTTTACAATCAGGGATTTTAGCCAACTGGTGAACTATCAGTGGTTTACCGACCCGGTTATTTCCCCGAATGTTGGCTTTTTGGTAAAAGCAATAAAAGCTATTTAAAATTGTATATTTATTGCATTGATTTTTTTGGGATATGTGCAAACTAAGTGCTAAGGGTAGCCAGAAAGTAGGTATTGCTTGTGTTGTTCATGTTTTTCGTACGGGCCAATCGTTTTAAGTAATATAGTGAACTCCCTAAGGAGAAGGTGCACGTGGATTTGTCCAACGATTAAAGACGTTGTGAAATGGTATATCATTGGTTCATTGCCAATACTGTCGCTTATGAAAGCACCAACCTAGAACCGGAAGCTCAACAGTTACAATATAACGAATCCATTTTGTGTTTTCATTCTCTTCTAAGAATTCAAGCTCACCACGGACAAATTCATCCCATTGGGAAGATGCTCATTCCGTGTCTGTTGATGGACAAAATGATGTAGCTCCCCCGACACCTTACTTCACTCTTAGTGACCAACAAGAAAGAATGAACAACTTTGAAAACGCGATAGAACAATCGCCATTGAATGAATCGGGTGGCTGTGAACCAGTCAACTCCAAAAATGAACCACACCCTGAGATCAAGGATAAACCGATAGGCCAAACAAATGCTTTACCAGTGACCGTGAGAAGCCATAATTCTGGTTCTCCTTCGCCCGTTGTAAATGAACCCAAACCTCCAACTGTCAGTCCATACCTTGTTTTGGATCCTGAACCTGTTCAACCAGCGCCTATTCAGTCAGAATTGGATGATCAAATTCCTTGGGACGCAATATTAACCCCGGACTTATATGATTCTCATGAAGAAGAGGGCGGTACAGAAGAAGATGCAAGAGAAGAAGATCCGGAAAATGGGGCAGACGTTGAGGTGAACGCGGACGATGACTGTGCAATTTTTGCGAGTCTCCGCGCTCTTGCCGCGGGTGCACATAAAGAAGAGGAAATCGATTCAGAGCTTGAAGCCATTGGTCGAACACTTGAGTTACGTATTTTGGCGAATGCAAGTGAATCCGGTTTGAGTACTCACCCGAATACAAAATGTTCACGGTTGCATACCACATCTCGTACCAAACCATTTCGCAGCAAACGACGAAAATTCGATCAATGGGAACGATCAGATCCGGTGGACACAAACATAGTAAGTTCAAGAACAATAGAGATTCATGAATTTTACCTTACGAATGTATTGGCTCATTCAAACGGGTTTTGAAATTCTGTATGAGAAAGCTCAATTAGTCTGTTGTGAACCGATCCTATTAAAAATTGTCAGACTATAAAACTCACTCAGTCCGACCCATTAGGACTTCGATATTTGATTCCAAGCTGCAAACTAATCCGATATATGTAACTATAGCTTGACAACCGTTTGGACTAGATTGATGAAGTGTATGCTTCCGTCATAACAGTATGAATCGGTTTGGGATATTTGTTGTTTTTAAATAAGATTCTGTTTTTGATGCATTGTCAACGTGCAACTCACTTATCGCCCAGTTCCAAATCCCAGTGGCTTAGGTGGGTCTGTGTGGCTGGGAATTTCCAACAAGCATGAAACAAGCAAGAAGTTGTGCATCCAGCGTGTTTTAGAATTGAATATCAATTGAATATCTATTAATCATTATTAATTCCTATGACTGATGTGTGTTATTACCAGTATGTTTAACTCGGCTACGTGAACTACAGCGCATTATCAAGCGAGGAATATAAACTCTTTATAAGCGGTATATCTATTCCTAATGCATATGCTTTCATGAATTATAATTGCGTATATCATGAAAAACCCATTTTTTGCGCTGAGTTATCGCACACCCGATAACGTCGGAAATTCATTCACAACTACAACCATCTCAGGATTGGCACATATGTCAGGCAGTGATAGAATATGCACAGACATTCACTCATAAGTTTCGATTGTTCAACTGTTGTTTGTATTCAACGAAGTTATGGCATCAAATAGGAGCTGTGCAGATAATTCTAAAAAGTTCCATACATGACAATTAGTTATTTCTACATTTTCCACTTTATTGCTATGCATTTATTTATTATCCCTGACTTTTTAAAAAACAATTTCAAACATTTTGCACCGCTATCTAACGGTTATTATTAGCCCTATTTTCTGAATTCCCAATAAATCGGTGGTTGGATACACTGAGTGTCGTAAACAATGGCACTCGTGCATCTCAATTTCCCTGCAACCTGCGTGCACTAAAATTTTCCGTTTCCCCTTCGATTGTACTTTCATGTTTCCTATCTTTCTCCTACTGTTACATCCAAATGAGCAGCCAAAAGACAGTAACCAAAACCGGTGCATGAAAGTGCATGACTAATAGTTGTTCAAACTGAAACTGAATTCTCGAGAGTGAGTTAGTCGTGAGACTTACCGCCCATCACATAGCTTCTTGTGTTAAATTTTCCGGAAGAATTATTACACACCCTAACCACTAATTGATCACAGAGTATGCATTGTCTTACCTGTCACTGCATACGCCTTGAATTCCAACTTATACCGTCGTTTATAAGCGTTCAATCTCACATTCTCAGACAAGGGTAAAAAGTGAACTCTGTTATTTGTAGGATATCTGTCAGCCAAATTTGTTTTCCATCTAATACGCTCATTGTTATGGTTGGTAGGTGTAGTCTTTGCTAGCTGAAATGTAAGCTGTTGTGCTTGGACAAGCTGCACGACACGCAATATAACTGTTTTTCATCGACTGCTCGCGAGCAATATTTTCCGTAAAATTTAGACTAATTTTTACCCCTGTAGAATAGCACACCACGTTGCAAGATTTTAGTAGACCATAAATGTAATCCGTTTCAGTCTCAGTTTAAAAAACCATTAACCATGCACGTTTGTTTGTCGGTTTTAGTTGCCGTCTTTTTTGCTTGTCCATTCCGATGAATCTCAGTTGTGGACAGCGTAGAATGCTGGAAGCAGTTTCAATGAGAATGTGGATAATTCAGACGGACTAGGGATGCAAACAGATTGCAAAGATTTCACCGGTACCGCAGTTTACAACAACCGTTTCACTCCGAGCCTCTGACCCCGTATTCCACTGATCGCGAGATCCCTGACGGTGAAGCGTTACGCAAAGTACATTAGCGACTGCCATGATTAAGGTTTTCATGCACCCATACCGGGTCTTAGTTTGACCACTATTGATTGACCTTTGGACCAATAGGTGCCTCAGCAAACATCGCATGCCTTGACAATCTGTAATTGGTGGCATACGTGTAACATGTCATAGCGAGTGATTAACCTCTTTTAGATAAAAGGAAAGACAATTCACTGCCTGGGGTAAATGGCCTCATCATATATTCTTTAAGCCATGAGTATTCTCAATGTTCATACAAAACGTGTTTCTTTAATACATGAAAGACATCAAAGGGTAGCATAATTTGACATATATATATTTATTTATGCCAATAACCCAGGTAGTCAAAAATCTATAGAATAAGTGTAGACATTTGTGTGATGGCAACATTTTATCCGTCATAGAGATGTTACTTAATTGGGGTGGTTAGAGTTAATGGATCTGGAGCTCATATACTAAATTCTATTGGATGGTGAATGTTTGCATTAGCTCTTTCGGTTTTTCACAGGCATCAGGCACTGCTGATGGCCTTGGATGTGGGTTTCATCCCTTGGGAGACAGTCAAAGCCCCACAAACAAGACAAAACAGATATTCAGTTCTCTTTGTCGGTCATCACAAAAATTTCTACCACATTTGAATACTAAACTCTTTTGTCTACAAATGGGAATGCTTTGTTTTTGAGACACTTGTCCGATTTTCGACTTACAGATTGGTAGTATTTGTTTCGCTTTATTTTGCAAGAAACTGTACTCTTCCTCCGTAGAGTCAAAAAAGGCTGTATACTCGAAAGAACCGTACGACAGGCTTTGTGGGCCCGATCACTTATCCGAGTGGTTAGTGAATTGTAACACAATCCAACAGGAACCGAAATCCGAATCGCTCTACAGGTTCCAATGTTAATCCCGGCTGACACATTCTTTTTATGACTGCAGCGAGTTTGCGAACAATCGGCAGTGGATTTTGACCGATTGAAAATACTCTCATGCTGTATAATTTTGAAAGATTTACATTGGAAATCATCATGATACTACGTAATTTCATAAAATGTATGGGGTACAGTAACGAGTTGCTTAGAAATGTACGGGTTTGTACATTGAGTCATGCGCTTCTCATTGTTCTTCAGCAGTTAACTGTCCAGATTCTCAATAACCTTGCAATAATAATTCAACACAGACTCTATTTCTATTCCGTTTTATCAGCTCATGAAACAATGCATTGGTATTTCCATTCTCAGTAGTGACCTCAACTGCCAGTCGAAAAAGGGCCACGGGCAAACACCTGCGTCTCCACCAAACCTGGTGACCAGTCATTTCGACTCTTCGGTGAACGGATTATCGTCCTCATTTCCTTACATCTCTTCTCCATCTCTTTCCGTATCACAGACGGATGATCCGTGGAAATTTTTATTTGATCCTGCAAACAGCTCCACGGATAGACCCAATGTCAGTTCACAACCCGGTCCTTCGTTATTGTCTCCTCCTCCTCCTCCTGCTGCTGCTGCTGTTACCTCGGTTCCAGTAGCACCTCAATCATCTCGTGATGTGAATCGAGCTACACAAAATAAGCATACAAATAAAACTGCATTCCGTCCTCAGATTGCCGAGGGATTTAAAGTGGAAAATATTGAGGCTAATTTGAACGGTTTAATACCTCCATTCGACTCCAGACCTGGAACAGCACACCAACCATCCACAATATCTTTTAACATTCCATCCACTGTGTCTTGGCCCCCAATCAAATGGTCATGCCAGTATCTATCTTCCACTTCAAGTGATGTAAACTCTACAGTGAAAGACGGTATAAGCAAACCAACCAAGATTGTCCAGTTATGGCTCCACCGGGAACCTGTTATTTTCAGTGGCGCTATTGCTTTCGGACCATCTTCTTTGTCCACACTCTCGCCCAGCTCTTCAGTTTCTAGATCCACATCAACAATGTTCATGTCGAATCAAGAGAGTGTTCTGTCGGCCGACAGCGCTTTAAAGATGGAGGATATGCCCTTTCAAAATCCGTTGGAACCGGGACAACAACAACTCAAGCCAACGAAATATCACTTATCTCGTAGTGATGTGCTTTTAATTCGCTACCTGCTTGTAAGTCAACGTTCAATGCGAAAAGATTTTTTTCACCCGTATAGGTCAGTTCAACAGTGCAACAGTGCAACAGAACTCGTTTTTTATGCTGTTTCACTACCGACCTTCATTTGTGCATACTGATAAAGCAAGTTCAACATTTTTGTAATGCAGGTCTGAAATCACTGCCTTTCATTTTATCTGGTTATTTTCTTTGTTAGACGCACCTCGAACTAGCTCGGCCAAGAACAGCCTTGTCTTCAGTATTGAGAGTAAAGGACAAGATACCCGAGTAATCCCTGTCACCACTGGGTCGAAAGCCTGATCACATGTTGTCATCCCTCCACAGCCCCTTGAGGTGCCCCAGACGCCGTTTGAAAACACAGTCGGTCTTCTCCACCGCGGTCGTTGTAACGGAATTCCAGAGCGCTTTTGACCTCTGCGAGAGTCGGTAGACTGAAGAAAGACCAACCGACTGAAGCTTACGTAACGTGAGAGAGTGTCCACTCGTGCATTCCTCTGTTTGTAGTGGAAAATGCTGCTGCAACCCCAACCCCTCTGGGTCTTCCTCAGGCAGATCAGATCTCCCAGACCACTGGCCTGCAAACGACCTTTATAGCTGGTCCCACGCAGTCCAACAACGAGTCTGGTGGTAGCACATTGTACACGCTCTGACTTAGCCAGTTCACCGGCCGTGCAAGGGTATGTCGCAGTGCTACCATACTCAAGCCTCGGCCTGACATGGGAAGCGTACAGCAGTCTAAAAGCGTTCAACTTAGGCCGACTGAAAGATCTTCGAATGGACCCCAGAATGCTCCATGCATTGGCGCAAACCCCATCGGTGTTCTTTCGGGTACTCAGTGATGACGTTATTATAACTCCCCGATCCCTTTCGCACAATATTCTGCAGAATGCGGTTCTTTGAAAGCTGTAAATCACCTCCAAATCAGCAAGCCCCAAGTGCAAGTTAGCATACTTGACAATGTTGACTGGAAGGGCCCAGATGTCCGCCCACTAAACCAGGGTGTTATGATCTTCTCGTAGAGTACTCCGATCATCTGAACCTTCGTTCGCACACATGAGTGATGGGCTGCGTGGCTGACCGGGCAAGTCATTGTCGTAAACCACGAAGAAAGGTAAACCAAGAACAGAGCCTTGGGGGACCACACTGAATGCGGGATACCACGTAGATAGCTACTGGCAACACGGACCCAGAATTTTCTGTTGGTAAGGCAGTCTTGCAGCCATTTCAGAATGGTCTGACCTACGCCAAGGCTGTACAGCTTTCGCAGAAGATGGTTATATGGCACTTCCTCGAAAGCCTCCTTGAGGTCCACGATGATGATGTCCGTTTCATGTCCTTTGGCCTTGTCCTCAGTGCATCATTCACGGGCTAGGAGCAGTTCCGAGATAAATGAGTGACAAGGACGAAAGCTGTGTTGTTAATAGCACCGGTGACCATAGCAGATCAAATGCTGTCGAAGCTGTGCGGCCATCAGTGTTTCATTACTTTACCCACTGCATTAGTAAGTCTGACCGATCAATAGCTTCTAGTCACTATTGAGTATACTGATCGCGTTCAAAATACTCTATATTAGTGATAGTAATATTCTGTTAACTTTTGTTAAGTACTATCTGTTATCTGTGAGCGGTGGAGGCCAAGTGGTTATGTCACAAAATTGTGACCCCGGAAGTTCCGGGTTCGAACTGCTCCACCGCCGCTCGTCTTCCCTATTTCTGTATTTCCCCAGACAGCCTTTGTATGGCCGCACCCCCCTTCCTGAAAGTTGACTGTATATTTTTATATTTAATAGACAAAAAAGGAAATCAAAAGACATCTTTCCGTCTTAATCGGAACTGATAGGCTTAAGCGTATTAGCCCCGATACTGTCTCGATAAAGGTTAGCGTTTTAGAAATCCTATGAGAAAAAACAGATCCGTTTCATCAACCAGTGGTCGAAATCTTTTGATATGTTCTGATTTTCTCCAATGCTATTTTCATTGAAATACCGCATGACGGGTCACCTATGGGCAACTTCAGTACTTGTACAAATTGTTAAGGAGCGCACAAATGGATGCCGTGAAGTTAAATACTGACTGCAGTTAGAATCCGTCTTCACGACATTCGGTACGCTCAAACCACTTAAGCTCCTCCCATGTACGTATTGCCAACAGCTGACACACCATGAGTGATACATGTCTCGCAACGAATTCAGATCACCAGAAATACACACTTTTGTTTTACTGTTACATGCTCACTCCAGTATTAGATCTCTAATAGTCTCGACTACGTTTAATGTCAATGTAATACGGATAACAAGCTAACCAAACTTTTAGTCATATCTGTTTTCCCATGATTACGAAAGCGTGACTCTTAACCAATAGCATTTGACCTTGCTGTTCAAACGATACCCTTAATAGGCCAAAAATGCCAGTCGGGATAGGTCATTTGATTCGATACTTCTGTTGTTGCAAAGCGATGGCTGGATTTTCGTTCACTATGCGACAAAAGTGGACCGTCAGCTTAGTCCTGTGAACCGTAGACCTCAGCACCTGTTTTTTTAGTTTCAACCCATACGGTGACACTCTATAGAGTTAGTCTACAGTGAAGCTGCTTATTCTCCGCTTTCTGTATGCTATCATCAATCCCATGTATTTGGGTTTCCTATGTGGTTATCTGCCCGGTTATTTCTTTATTGTTAAGTATCAGTTTAGTAAAGACTTCATAGTGCACTAAACAGCTTTGGAGCGCTTTACCACCTATTTTCAATCGGCTGTGAACCTGTCCTCTATTGATACCGATGACTCATTTGTTTGTGCAGAATTTGATGATGCAATAATTCTTTAAGGCCATTCGACCGGGTTGAATCAAGTTAGGGAAATCTACGGTTTCAATATTTGACTACACTTAAACACGAGTTCGCTGGTTTTTGTTTAAACATCCTGATTGTGGATGATACATCTATCATACATAAACATTCTCTCTCTCAAAGTTAAACTTGAAAGTTCGATTTGATTTGGCATAAATATCTGATTAGTATCCCGGTACATCCCGCATGCATTTCGGTCTGTAAGTATGGGGGAGATTTCCGCTTTGTGAAATAAATTGACAAACCCTGCAAAACACAATCTTATAATACGTGGCGTTTTACCCTTCTTTATTTTACAGGAAGGAGTGGACTACTCGGAAGAGTTTGTGGGATGTGGCGTATTAAGGCCAACGCATGCTCAACTGAGTAGACTCTGGAACCACACGTACATTCTGGACTATGCACTTGAAGATTCGGACCAAAAAGAGGAGTTGACGAAATGCAATCCCAAAATTGAGGTTTGTCACGTGCGCGCATATTTCCATAAACTGGCTTTCAATGTATATTTCAATATTCTTATGGGATTTCAAAACTCGTCCCACTCTTTGTACGGCTTCTGGGGAAGCACTAGAGGTGACGTGCATGTGTATTAAGAATGATTACGTGAATGATCAGTTTATGTGGTCCTACTTCAGAGGATGCGGTAACGATACAATGTCTTTACCAATTTGACGAATTATGCAGTGAAAATTCTCCCATTGGCACGTTTCTGACATGAGTTCATCAAATTCTCAGGATCAGATACTGTCACACAGTTTGTCTATTTTCAAATCTCTGCATATTCTCATGTTTAGCATCCCAAGTTTGCCTTTCGCTCATTCCGTGATTAATCGCTGCAAGCGGTTGAGTAATGAGAGTCAAGATTACTAGTAATAAGCCTCTCAGTGGCTGGTGGGTTACGCGAAGGCCACGTTCCATCAACAAATTGGCGAATACCTATTTTTTCAAGCAATGTTCGCTCACTGATAGGAAAAATCGGGAACCTATAGAATTTGGTGCATCAACATTGGTTAAAAATATTGGAGTCACTCTACTCCAGAAGAATTGTGTACATTCAAACGCTGAGCATGGTGTCGTTGGGGTTGATGGATGAGTCATTTTTAGGAGCGAGAGTACTGTAATTTCGCAACAGAGGTAGCCGAATGGTCACATTGATCAACCAATTTTGGCGTTACAACACTTGATTGATGTTCAGTTCCTCAACCGGTAAAATCAATTGTACATTCGTTCGTTTGAAGCCTTATTTTCTCGATGGGTTTCGTTTTATTTACTTTGGGAATATATATTGCCCCGGTGGAACGCTGTTTGCTGATAGTATCTTAACTCAATTTGCCGTCTACATAGATCCATCATTGTGTATTACATCTGGTTACTTTAGTTGCTCTTCACACTTTCTGCAAAAAATTCCCTAGCTCGTAAGAACAGAGAGAAGACAAATTGTGAGATGGTTAGACGGTGGATGTTTGGATTAGCCCAATCAGCCTTTTTCACAAGCACCAGGTATTGTTAATGATCTTGGGTGTGGGTTTCACTTCTTGGGAGATCGTTAATTCCCCACCAGGTAGATGCATTTAAATACGATAGAAATGTTTGCGATGACCGACAAAGAGCATTGGATTGCTGTTTCGTTCTGTTTGGGACCCGCCAACATGCTTTGGTCCCTCTTAGGACTAGAACCTCGAACATTCGGGTTCGTACAGCTGACGAGTCCCAAACAAGACGAAACAGCTTTCCAATGCACTTTGTCGGTCATCAAAAACCTGTTTTAACTGTAAGATGTTATTATTTCCTTTAGTTTCATCAGTCGCTACAACGTAGAACAATCTGGTATTTATACAAGATAGATTTGTTAAATACACTGGTTCAACGAACGACAGTCCGGGGAGGGAGAATCGGTTCCACGGCAATTCGACTGATTCCGTTAGAAACGTCTGTGCACATAAGATTAATTGAGATAATCATTTAAGGTTCTGTCCGGACATCTGCTGTGACAGTGGCCGATTCTGTCTGCCGATATAAGTGCCACCGCAACTGCCGGTGAACTGACAGACGACACGTGAAGCAGAATCGGGTGGCTGGCTCTGTTTTCGGTTGTCCAGACTAAGACCCCGGGTATTATTGTCTTACTTGAGATTCGGTTAGAAGAATTACGCGCTTATATACTGATTACTCCTTCAGTTCTCACTGATCAATTCAACTAGCCAGTTAATTCCCTATTAAACAAATTATTCTTTTTTCGCCCACCCTGATATCCATTTAAAAGCGATAAATAATATATCATTATCATTATCATATATACAACAAAGGATACCCATTGGTACTTTGAATCATGTTTCTGTCACAGTGTTAATAATTAATAGCATGAAGAGTGATAATAACTTGGCACCGATAGGCACAATCATTTCTTTCCATCGAAAGAACTGGCTGCTCACCGTAGTTTCATAAAACAGCCATATTTTGACTGAATTCAGGTACATGCTTTTTCTTATTTTGAAATTAAAATCTTTCCTGAAATGTCGTTATAGTTCTGAATCCGTTTAACAATCCATCAAGCATTGGCCCTTATTTGTGTTTGCTGGACCTGTTCGTGTAGATATTCCTCCCAAGCCGTATTTCGGTGGTGCAATGGTAAGCAAAGATGTAACCACTGAGCTATTCATATTCCATACCAAGGACAGGTTAGTTAATTCGGACGCTTCTCGTTGTACTCCGCAAGACAGTGTCCAAATAATAACAATACATCTGAAATCAATACAGGGGCATTCCACGTTGGTGCCAGGACCGCCTAAATTAACCATGGAACATAATGAATAAGATAACTTGAACTATATATATATATATATATATATACAGAAAGCTNGTTTGACAACTTCAAACATCTCTGGATCCATGGTGATATCCGGCAGTCTTTGAAGGGTCGTTTTTACCCTGCAGCAGTTCGACCAATGCTGCTACGTGGCGCAGAGACTTGGCCATTATAAAAACAGGATGGAGATAGACTGTGGATGTTTGAACACCGCTGTCTACTCTCTGTGTATCGGTCTGTTGGGGCAACCGGATAGGGAATTCCGTGGTTGGGAGCAGAGATTTAGGCAATCGCAGTCCCCTGCCGGAGCGAGTGATTGACCCTCATAGATTACGTTGGTTTTGGCATGTAACACACATACCATCAAATAGATTGTCATGACACTCGTTGTTTGCCGCAACAAGCAATGAATCGGAGAAAGCCAAAGGTGCTCAAACTATGACCTGGTATAAGGGTATGAAAATCCCTGACTAGGCCAACTACTCACCGAGGTAGCGTTAGGCTTCCTGAATCAGGACATGGGGATCGGTGTAACCGATAGTTACAGATACCTGGTGAAGTAGCTGAGTGTCGTGAACATCGGCGCTCGTGCGTCTACTTAATATCATGGCTCCACTTTTATCTCGACACTGCTTTCGCTATTCAGTTTTCCCTCTACTCCTTCATCTTAATGAACATCTAAAACGAGCGACCAAAACCACCACATGAAAATGCATAGGTAATGGTTGTGCAAACTGGAGATAAAACTAGTTTTCACGAACATAGATTACGACAGAAATAAACAAGTTTTGATACTCCAAGTGAATTATTTTCCAGTTCACAACATTCTTTTTGTTAGTGATTTCATGGCGCGATGGATGACTGGGTTTTCAAAATTACCCTCTCCATCGCGTCGATTTATCCAAAAACAAGGTGAAGCACTTTGCAAATGGGTTTCGGGGGTTTGAAGTTTTGATTGTCCCCGTCCCCTGCGAAGACTGTGCTCTTCGCTTTTGTTCCAATACGGTTTAGACGTGAATGACCTCAACCGATCCGATGGATGACATTTGGTGATCTAACGTAGGCGATTAGTAGATTCCTTTGAAATTTATCCCGCATTCTAACTTAACCAATTTGTTCTCGATAAATGCATTACTTTGTTTATTATTGATTACATCAATAGGGATGTATTTTTATCAGACATAGCAAATGTCTATATCACTCCATTCGTGGCCATTATAAAATTAACTTGCAAACCTGTCACGCGTTTTTTTACCAAATATGTTTAGCTTCTTTCACTTTTCATTACTCTTTTCAGCACAAATCGTCAGACAAAGAAGACAAAGAGACATCAAAACTTCCACCTTTTGCCGATCCTGTGGTTCGGGATAAATTGCTAGAAGCCTTGGCGATCCTGTATGACTTGATGACAGCCTCGTTGTGTCGACGAACACCGAGGTGTTCAGTTTTACGTTCTGATCTCGCCGATACTGCTTATATCCCCTCAGGAGGTAAATGCTGTTCACAGGAACTGTCATCCTGCACTGAAGAGGAGGAAAAGCAAATGGCCAACACCAGAGAAGATTTGATTGTGGCTTTCCAGTCGCCCCGGATGACCAGAAAACTGGTATTGTTCTCCCGGGACATTTGGTTCGTGCTCAGCAATATTCATGTGTTGCGCAATATGAAATCGGAGTTGGATAACGGTCGCAGTCTGAATGATACTTCCAAGTGGATAGTTCCGTTTGTGGCCAAATTTAAATTTCTTTTTCCTTTCGAAGTGCGTCTGGAGTTTTGGCGTGTCTCCAGCCTCGGTGCAAGCAGGTAACAACTATGAAATACTCTATATTTAGAATGTGTTATTTCCTCATTTCCCCGTAATCACGTTCATGTATACCGCTTTTTTCTTACAACTCCAATACACACCGCGATATTTTGCAAATATATGATATAAAGATCAGCAAAACAATTTTCCGTCGCACATTCTCCTCGTTTTAAGGTGGTTTCCCAGTACGCTTTGAAGCAATTTTCTGGTTATTTTAATTTTCCAGTGAATTATATAAGCATGGCATTTCAGTAACTATTAACACAGTAGCTCAATTTTGCCATCTATCCTCGGTTCTAGTATCGACTATAAATCATATCTGTGTGATTCCATTTTCCGATAAAATGCAGTTTTGTCCTTAGCAATAGCAGGTAAAAGTTAGTTTCGTAAAATCATTTACTTTCCTCCATGAAACTGTGCTCCGTACCATTATTGAAATCGGTTAGTTGTCACCTCATGGGTTTGTCAATATTTTGTCAGTATCTTAGACACCATATATATCTCATACAGGAACTCCAAATCTGTCGGCAACCGTTTGTACTTGAACAACTAGTATGCACACCTCCAGCAATTCGCAATTCACATGATTTCCGTTGACACTAAATCGTGGTTTGTAGTCAGTATCTTGAAACGCTGATGACACAGCTAGCTCAAAAAACCCACAGTTTATTGCTGATGAGATGAAATATATACAGTTCGTCGTTTACCCTCTTCTCATCCCTCTCACCTGTGACCTTAAACAAGTAAATTCCCCCTGACCATATTTCTGTGATCTGATTGGATCATAGTCCGCGATCTGCGGCGCTTTAAATCCCTCACCCCAACACGAGACTGTTTGATTACGGGCTTATACGTTTTGTAATGCTCTTGTTGTCGCGTTCACTCCATCCGTGGGCTGATGGCACACTTGCTGCATAGTCTAGGTTCACTGGGCCTGTCTGAGACTCAAGGCTGTAAACAAGGTGTGGTTTCTCGCTCGGGTTAGCTAGGCACCAGGTCCCTTGTTCCGGCTGAACTATCCGACCGATCGATAAATGAACCAAATCGGTTGTGATTTTCGGGCTGGCATAGGCGGCGGATAAGCACTGAATTCGAGGCTGCTTAGGTGTTGATAGAGGTTAACCACAAGAGAATCAGTTGTGGAACAATAAGCCGTGGGAAATTCGGAATGGAAAATGCTTAAGCGATGATGACACTGGGCTAACGCTTGACTCGTCTAAGATACACGCACTATTTTTCCAAGCGGGTTCGGTAAACAGATAATCATAATAAAACATTGAAGTTGTCTTAATAACGGACAGCAATATCCCCTAATGTAGGCCCACGCAAAAACTCTTGTTTGTTATTTTCAAACTGGTTGTTTTCGCGTTGAACGATCTCGCTAACTACGTTGGAGACAGAACTCCGAAAGAAAGAAGAAATATGAGGGGAAAAATATTTTCATATCATAAAAGTTGTTTCATATGTTTCCCATTCTGCTCCTTGCATAGGAAAATCCAGTGAAGATAGTTTTCTTCCACCTTCAGAATGGTAGCAGTTGGAATACTTTCGCGCCACAATGCTCTGTTTAAGCTCTTCGATAGTTCTCGGTTTTCGGGAATAAACTGTTCGCTTTAGATATCTCCACATAAAGAAATTAAAGGGAGACAGATCAGGTGACCATGAAGGCCATTCCTTTGGTCCTCCTCGGCCAATCCATCTTCAGTTAAATTCCGAGTCGAGGAAACTTCTCACCACCGGAGCATTGTGTGGCAGTGCACCGTCATGTTGGAACCAAACTGTGGTAACAAATTCAGTTTCTATACGCCGGATGGCAGGTACCACATTGTCTTGTAACATTTGCAAGTATGTACAGTGTGATTGCTCGTTCGATCCGCATTGTCTTTTTTACTTTCTTTCGTGACCCCGCACAACTAATTCCCTTGGGACCGCTTTTGTGATCTAATTGACTAGTTTTTCTCGAGTTGCATGACTTCCAATCCCTCATCCTGAAATAAGACTGCCTGATCGCCAGTTTTCATTAATGTTATTCCTTGTTAAACCCAAATGACTATCCAGGCCAACGTTGGGTGATGCGTAATCTCAGAAGTCAAGTCCAATTGTTCAAGAGGTTTATTCAGCTCCAACAATAGCGAATAAGTATGCGGTACTGTAAATATTAAGTATTATAATTACATAAACAAAACACCTCAAATCATGGCGTTCCGAGGGAGTATGCCTGAACCGGCGAAATGAACAATACCAATCGAAAACCAAGGTGCAAATGAGGGAGTTCACCACTCCATTAAACGAACAAGCGATAAGTGAAATAACGTCAGAGCGCACATGTGCCTATGGGACAGTGCGACGCATGGATGAGGCAGAGGACCAATTCGAATAAGATTAAGCAACTCTATACGATAATCATAGGCCAGGGTGAGTCAGTCCATATCAGAGTCAGGGATAACGGTCACGAGAAAGCGGGGCGGAGGGGGGGGGGGGTAACCGAGTTTGGTGGGCGAGCGAAGAAATGAAACGAAAAGTGCATGTCTGAAGATCCATGACGCGCACGGGTTAAGACAATTACACTTGAGGGAGAGGTGACTAGACAGAATTGTGGGCGAAAACGTGTGGAGCGTAGCAAACAGATTCAACATTCCTGTGGTTAACTGCGAACAAAGGAAGAAACCTACGGTGTTCCAGTTCTGGCATAAAATTGTCTCAGCAGTTTGCCGAGTTTAGCTTCCTTGGTATTGGTCCACTGCTGTAACATTTACTCTTAGGGTTTGATAGCAATTGACCTCAGAGTCTGTCAATGTATCTGTTTATCGGAACTGCTTTAGAAAACAATGAAAAAACGTTAGGGTTAACTATGGAGCAGCAAAATGCTAACTGGAGAGGTCACTCCAGCAAAAAAATACGAGGAGGGGCAGTTTACCGGTAGAAAAGCACCCCGCTAGATGGACTTAAGAGCGAAGTATCTGGGGTTTCCTCCCGACGGTAGAAGTCTTTGCACTTCACTGGGCAGCTACCGCCCGCCCAAGCTGGGCAGTTCCCAGCCAATAAAGTGCTGGTCCGCTCACGTTCCGCTTGTCTCACTGGGTGCATGAGGCTCATGGCCGATCCCGAAAAGCGGATCGTCAACCAACGCACAACCAAAGCGAACAACAGACTTAACCGAAATCCAAAGGCCTTGCGTGACAGGTCTCCAGAAGCTCCCACACGGGTGCTTCGTTCATATTCCCGCTTTGAATCTACGCCTCACTGTCTGGTGGGTCAGACTTGAGTCGAAGGCTCCGGTTAGGGTTCTCAAAGAAAAACTTCGTCGGTGTGAGCAACCGCGAAGTATGCAGTGCACAAAAGTCTTAGGTACCCATTTGGAAAACTATCTTTTTCAACTGCCAACCTCCTCTTCTCACTTCCAAACCTTAGGAGGTGCTTACTATTTGCGCTACCCATGGGATATCACTCTGCGTTGAATTAATGAGGTCAACCACTCAGAGGCCATCATATTTTTGAAACCAAAATCTCCTTTCCACTTAGCCGCACTCAATGTCCGCACACTCTACCAGATCGGTCAACAAGCCGCCTTAACCAGAACCCTTGAAACCTTCCATTTAGATGTATGCTGTGTCTCCGAAACACGCATACAAGACCCTACTTCAATCATCTCCCTGCGTTCTCCTCATCGTCAAGCTTTACTCTCCGTGTGTCAGGTGATTCGACATCCGAAGCTCGCGTTATTGCTGGAGTTGGGATTGCGCTGAGTGTCGAGACCGAGCATTCACTTCTCGACTGGATCCCAGTTAGCAACCGACTTTGTGCTGTACGTCTGGACGGTTCAGTTCGGATCAACAACTCCAGAACAAAGCATCTGTGCTTATTCGTGGTATTCACCAGCTGATTTCAGTTAGCCAGAAATGAAGGACAAATTCTACAAGGACCTCTCTCAACTGCTCCAAAGAGCAGCAAAGAAATAAGTTATCTCAAACGGCTAAGGCTTCCGGCCCCGACGAGCTGTCCCCATCGGTTTTTAAGGATGGTGGTTCAGTCTTGGTTTTGGATTTACCGAAACTCTTGGGCTCAGTGCGGGAGGGGGAACAGGTTCCAAGTGAATGGTGTGAATCGGTGATCATACCAAATTACAACAAAGGTGACAGGTCCTCTTGTGAAAACCGCAAAGGAATTAGTTTAATCATCATCGTTTCTAAATCTCTTAATGGTACTATATTCTGCTGATTATCTGCCCTTCATGAACGTTGCACCCGTGAGAACCAGGCTGGTTTTAGACCTGGTCGAGGTTGCATAGACCACATCTTCACTCTTCGTCTAATTCTAGAACACAGACACTTCTTTCGTAGATCCACCATTTCTATCTTCCTCCATCTGAAAGCCGCTTTCAACTCAGTCAACCACTCTAAACTCTGGTGGCACCTCGCTCTAAAGGGTGTGCTCGCGAAGTTTACTTCAATAATACAATCCATCTACAATAATAACCGAAGCCGAGTCCGAGCTTACGGCACTTTTTCACCCCAGGTCAACACAGAAAGTAGTGTTCGACAAGGTTGCCCTCTCTCTCCGTTTCTATTTCACTTTGTTATCGATTTAATTCGTTAAGCAACCCTATCCTCGTGCGAGAATAACGGTATCGATTTACTCCCAGGCAGCGTACTGTTTAATCTTGAGTATGCAGGCGACATTATGTTGCTAAATGAAGATCCAGGTAAGTTGCCAGGTTTTCTGGATAGTGTAGCCACGTTCGGTATACGTTTTGCATC